ATATTATTTTCTTTAAAGAATTATATAACAAAAACTTCGTTTATTTTCATTAGCACGTAATTTAAAAACACGAATTTTTTAAAAATACAATACTTTTTGAAGACTTCCAATGCCTACGATAGAAGTAACTGTTAACAAATTACTTAACCTTTGGATAGAAAATTAAAAATTCATTACTTTGTTCTTATTGTTGTTACTTTATGCTTACTAAAAAAAGGAAGTACATTACTTTTATTCTTTATCAATCGCTATTTTTGATTAAGAAGCATCTATCTCTTCTACTATTATTGCTTTATTACATTTTTATACTTTCATCACAATCTTCCCAAGTAAAACTAACAGTTTTTTGTCCGCATATTTAACTATAATCATCTTTGACTATCAGAGAACGTATAAAAAGTTGTAATGTACGGGACACAACGTAAAAATGATCACATTACAGAAATATACAACACAAACTGATAAAACTTCATTTACAATAAGTGTTAGGTATTGTAAAATCATAATTATTTTTATAGATTGCTTACGTACCAAATAAATTTAGATTATTTTATTAAAATCCAAAAATTTAGTTGCTTACAAATTTCTAATCGCACTGTAATATTTCTACCTTTAACTCGACAACAGCGCCCTCATTTCGCGCGAAGGTATGATCATAATTTGAATTTAAAATACAAATTGTTTTAAATCCCCTGGCGACTGCTAGTCCTCAAATAGGCAACCCAATTTACTGCAAAGTATTCTGAGAGTCAGGCTGCGGTAGCAATTTTGAATTCCTTTCACTTATCATTAAAGACAAGGCTTTCAAAACCAGGGTTTACAAAATATTAACAATTAAGAAATAAAAACGTTTTTAAATTGGGGGCTGGAAGTGTAAATACATGTTTTCTACGAATTTTTGTGGCAAAATCAGCAAAATGTAGTGGAGCTATAAACATCAACCAAGCCTTTTTAGAAAAAATTTGGTAGACTGAAGTTCGCAATTATCTACAACCCCAACAAAAATGACCTATATAAAATAATCTGACGATATTATGTACATAAGTA